GTCTCGCAGAGCCCAGAGCCCACAGTCTGGCAAGTGCGAGGTTTTGGCGCGTCTGAAGCGTCCAGAATCCAGAGGCTGGCTGCTCCGGCGCGCCAGCGCCCCGAGCCCACAGCCTGCGCAACTCCGCCCACAGTCTCGCAGAGCCCAGACGAGCCCACAGCCTGCGCAACTCCGCCCACAGTCTCGCAGAGCCCAGAGCCCACAGTCTGGCAAGTGCGAGGTTTTGGAGCGTCTGATTCTCGCAGAGCCCAGAGACCACAGTCTAGCAAGTGCGAGGTTTTGGAGCGTCTGAAGCATCCATGGAGCGTCTGAAGCGTTCAGAATCCAGACGTATGGCACAACCATTGGCAAGTGTCGGAGCGTTTGAGGGGCTTGAGGGGTTTGAGGGGTTTGAGGCCAGTATGGCCCACAGTCTGGCACAGAGCCCAGAGCCCACAGTCTAGCAAGTGCGAACTTTTGGCGCTTTTGCTTTCGGGCCCAGAAAAGTAAGGATTTGGAGAGCTCAGGTTCCACACCTTCGGTGGTCCCAGGCGCCGCCCCTGCCTTCGCCAGAGCAGGGGTCGGCGGATATAGGCTGTTAATGAATAACACCGGTAACACCTCTTCATATCGCGGGCTCTATTGATCAACAGTCTATATGAGTATGTGACAAACAAAACCGGCGAGTCCGATGCTCCCGCGTTTCACGCACGCCATGCATAACAAATCCCAGGCGTGTTGCGACACTCAAACCTCTCCGGTCCTCTCCAGTCGTCCAACGAGTCCAAACACAAAATGACATGCTTGAACTGCAATTGAGGTCGTTGTCTTGCTACTCCGCCGAAGCACCTTGGTCGGTGACCTGACTGCACACTGCCTGTAAGTGGAGGCCGCGCGTGCTCAACACAGATGAAGTAAGTCCAGATTTTGTGCATTCATTTGTCGATCATCCTACTGGCACTAGCTCCAGCGTGTAAGGTCAGCGCAAACAGCCCAAGTGAATGGGACACAAAATTCTGCGGATAGGACGATAGGACACAAGAAAAATCTGCTCGGAAGCAAAAAGATGCAAACTGCATGCAGTGCAGTACTTAAATCCGTGCAACTAGTAAGAGCATGTAAGAGCGATGGTCTCCAACCTACTAGCGATGAGACCCGTGCATTTGGAGTGTTACTTGCTGCAAAGGCCTGGATCGATGGCGCAGCTTCTTCAGCCTCGCTCTGAGATGTGGGCCTGAAGAATGCAGACGTAGTCAAACGTATAGAAATCCATTCAAAGCTTGTCCAAAGATTGTTTCTACATTCTGCCTCAGGCGAAGTCTTGAGCTCGCTCTAAGTCTTACTCCTGAAGGGACCTTGCTTTGTATTTGGGTCTTGCGTGGTAGAGTTTTCTTGTGGTACTTTGGTTGCTGCGTTCCAGATGCAGACGTTATGTCACTGTTTATATTATGTCATTGAATGTCCAAGACTTCGACCATGAAGATCATAAAAGGCAAACTTCTGGTGGACATGATCCCAAAACCTAGTAGCGATGGCCTCCATCCAACCTGCCAAGATGTGCCCAGGCCTTCTGGAAACCTTGGGTTTTCTTCTCTTTGCCGCCGTGCTGAATGCCGCCTATTCACCTGCAGCGGGCTTGGGAGTGCTGGTGATGGCCATCGTGCTGCAGTCACCTGCCATGATGGAGCCTGAACTCTATGTGGAATTGGTTCCTACTTGGCAAATCTTGCGGATCTTAGCCTGAACTCATGATACAGGATGTGCCCGTAGGCCCTGGAATGCTACTCCATTCCCAAACTTCCATCCTTGAACTAGCAGCTGCTGGCGCCCGTTTTTATACTGTTAGCGCACGCACCACCTGCAACAGCCCGGAGATGGGGATCATCCACACACAATTATATATAGGGTATTACATGGTTGGAGGAGCCCCTAGTAGCGTCCTTGCTCCTAGTATACATACCGTGTGTCAATTAATCAAGGACGTCCAATACTTCCAGGTACAAACCGTGCAAACCCCAATCTTGCTAGCCCAACCACCCGCCTCTCGTGCTGCGACTACAGGTGCTTCATGGCCCGCACAGAGCTACGGGCCTATCGAACCATGCGAGCAGAGCCTTGGGAGCAAGGCCGTCGGATTGATTGGGTGCCTTTGAAAGGGGGAACTGCAAGAACTCAGTATTTAAATTCTGAAGATGTGACCAAAGAATTGGTGGAATACGGTGAATTGGTATATGTCGACACGTTCACATGGTGAGATGGCGTGGCCCCAATCAGGAACCTGATCTGTTCTTGATCCAGGGGCCAGTTTCAATTATGTGTGTGTGCACGCGCGTGTGATTTTGTTTGTTTGCTTGTGTTGTGCTTCCTTTCCTCATCTAGAAAGGTCTTGTTTTCATTTTCTATGTTGTTCTTCCTGTTGCAACGCCAGAAATTGGACAGGGTATATGTGGAGTTGTCCTTCCCCTCGCCCAAAGCTGGACGTTTTTTTTGGAATCAAGACTACTGACGTTGGCAGTTCCTAACTTGGCGATGAGGTTTCTATTATATGAGCCTAGGGTGTAGAGCTGTTTTCCCCAATCTGTCTTCCCAGTTCTTGAAGACGTCTTGAGGCGGATGTGGGTTCAAGGTTGTGACCCCAAATATGGTTGTGGTCTACATGTAGACCTGAATTGTGTGCCAAACTAAAAGCTACTGCCTTGCTTTGGGTAGCAGTGGGGGTCATGGCCATTGGAGCACCTAAGATGTGCAAGCAAGTGAATGGATGAGCCACAGGAAGTGCTCAGGGAGTGGACCACGATCCTGTTTGGTATGAATCAATGAATGTGTCAATTCGATCCAAAGAGCGTCATATAGATGTATATGAACTAACAGAAATAGTAAGTTTAAATATATAACATAGATAAACACGTCTCCACACACTGCTCCCCTTCTTTGTGCATGTGTCAAGCCCCGTTGTGGGGGTGTTTGAGCCGGTTTGAGCCCGAAAGGCCACCTGCATGTTTCTACTCATGGGACACGTGAGATGACTCACTCGTTTCTGCTACCTCCTAAATGAACCATGATGCATGAATGACAAATTAGCCGAGAGTTCACTTCTTCACAGCCCCACATCAATCCACTCAGTATGTTATATGCATATATATATGCATTATATATGGACGTGGTGATAGACACATCTGCTAGGCACCGAAAGTGTTGACCAGGTGCCAAGCCACATCTCCTAGGTGACCCTGGGGCTTCATTGCAGCCTAGTGGTCATCGTAGCAATTTGCATGTGGTCCATGGAGGGCGGCTCTCATTGGAGTGGCCATCGAAAAGCACCTGCTGAAAATGCCATCGGTGGCAGCGTGGAAGAATACCCTTTTTGCCATCTCAAGCACCTGGGATGAGCGAATCACGACTTCTGCCGAAAAGCGACTCACTGGGATACGATATGAAACACGATTGTGGGGAGTTCCTGTCATGTGACGCAAGATTTTGTCTAGTGGTGGCCACCGCCGTAGTAGACATACTGAGGGTGGATTGTGTTCTTCTTTCCAAGCAAAATCCATTTGAGTTTCCCTGTTGATCCCACGAGCAGGAGAGGATTGGTGTGATAAGACTGGAAAAGGCTGCTCAAAAAAGGCATATGTCCCGGTCCCTTCCATTTGTTGGTATACCCAGTGTGGAAGTTGTGGTGTTACAAAGCGTGCTTATTAGGAAAAGATAGACAACGATCTAGTTTATTTAAACTTCCATTGTCCACATTCCCATATATGCTTCCGTCAAGTCAAGGTTTCTTGCATGTTTTCGCGTCATAGCTATTGGCATTGGTGGAATGCCGGTGGTTTCTCCCCGAGGTGGCCTTTGGGAAAGGAAGGAAAGCAGGCAGGCAGCCATGTGGCTTCTATACAGACATTAGTGCAGACATTGTGTTTCTTGTCATGCGACAATCTATGAGAATCTTGACTACCAGGTATCAATGCCAGTGACCATTTGCAACCATAATTATGTGTATTATATATATATATACAATGTCTATGTGTATACTGTGTATATGTATATATATATATGCCTGTGATCCAGGTGTGAAAACCATTGGTGTAATCAGAGCAGAAGGATGGTGAAAGCACGGTGGCCAACGTTGAGTCAGCGCAGGAGATGTCCCTGATCGATTTTGCCGACATGTGCGCGTTGACTAACCTGCCAAGCTCAGATTTCAACTCTTCATTGGAGTCGCTCGTCCATGGTGCAAACCACGAATCAATCCTGGCATTTCACCGGAGAGAAGAGGAAGAAACAAAGTAATCCAGCGTGAGCCACTGCAAGTCACGAAAGCTAGCACCAGCTAGCTGGAGTTGTCCTTGCTCTAGCAGCTCTAGCAAGTGAGGGGCTGGAATCCTCGAGATCGCCGCATCACGTGAAAACGTCATATGTAGAGGGCCCCCCCCCCGCGGGTTCAACTCCCCCCTGGGACGCCTCCACTTTGGTTCAACTCCTCCGTGGAGGTTTTGGGATACGATGCAACAGATTCAACAGATTCACAAGCTAAGGTTGGCTGTGTCATTGCTGTCCGTGTGTCTTACATGTTCACAACGTTTTACCTCATGAGCGAGACCTTGTGAACCATCCCTCCAACAGCCCCATGCCTATGAAAAATAAATTGCCTCACTCCGCTTGATGTCCCACCAATCCTTTGTCACTGGACGGCGCTGTATGCTTCGCCTCCACTGACACGGATGCATCCCTGCTAGCTTTCGTCACCTACCCTCGGCCTCAAGTTTGTTTGAGCGGAGCTGTGCGGTGTATCCCAAGCGTTCCTGTGGTGGTGTTTGAGCTGTTCGGAGCTCATTCACGACTCTTCATGACACTTCATCGGGATGCATGTTGGGCACACAGGCCGCCATGTGCAAAGGCTCCTCCTCATCGAAAATACATCAGACGCCTGACGCCTAAGCCGGAAAATGGCTGTCCAGTGAGTCCATGCATATATCCATTTGATGTGAGATCCCCAGCCTACGCTGTCAAATCCTGCCGGTTTAGGCCTGCGTTCCCAGGTCACGATTTCCTGGTTGGAGCTTGTTGTACGAGCGGCGTGGAGGGGAGAGCCACAGCTATGGCTACAATGACTGGACCACCTTCTTTGAACTGGCGGATCCCAGTTCCTCGGCAAAGCCCGCAGCACTTTGACGCGCTTGCAACGCAGCGCTTGCCATGCTGTCGCACGGTGTTGAGGTTTCGGTCGGGTGAGTTTGGATGGTGCACCCTCCGTCGTAGCCGATGAGGATCGATGAGGTGTACCAGGTACTTCATGGTGGGTCCCCAAATGGCTGGCCTTGAGACATAGAGCAAGCATGAACAAGCCACGGCTTTAACTACATAATTTAGATTATTCCGTGGATGTGGATAAAAGCCTACTGAGGGTGCAACCAGTGTACTTTAAGTACTTCGGCCCTTACAATATGTTTGCATTATATAATTACTTTGACGCAAGAAACAAATGAAACAGATTAAAGATATTTAAAGAGCATTTCTCTCACTCTCGCCACCCCCTCGACCGGAACGCTCTTCCCTCCAATCCGGGACCCGGAACGCTCCTCCCACGGGCTGCGCGATCTTCCAGGCAACGAAACCACCATTTTCGCGGTCCGTGGCACGCAAAGCCCACTGGATGTCATGCAAGACTTGAGCCTCGATCCAGGAGAAATGCTTTGGGAGGAGAATCCTGCCACCCTCCTGCAGTGCATGTGGTTGTTGTAGTCACTTTGTTGCAGGTTGAATCCCACCCACAGCCGCCCCACATGGTTTTTTGGAGGGTTGAAACTCGCAAGTTCAGAAAAAGCAACACAGGTTTTTGGTCTCATTAACGCATCAAATAAGTACTTATATAATATGACAGTGATAAATTTGTGCATTTGGAAGAAGAATGGGGCTTTGTATGGCTCAGCACAGTTCAACTCCCCGTCTACTAACAGCCGCACTTTGTACATCAAAAGATGGTTACAAAGATGTGACAGTATTGTATTGTTCATTGCATGGAATGGCGCTGCCACGCCCTGCAGGGAGAGTTCACGCGTCGAGTATAGGTTGCCAACAATCACAAATTGAGAGCTTTGCTTGGTGCTCTGTGTGCACTGGTTTTACAAGCCAGAACCACATGTTTTTTGCATCCCACCCATATCTTGAACACGTTCTGGACCCTACTGTATTTGTTCCAGGGTGCAAAGGAGGAGCAGATCCAGCCAAGCCAGGAGCCCTGTTTGCTCTGTTCTCGAGCATTCAGGCATCGTATTCAAAACATTTCCTAGAACAAGTGTGCGTTACCTTGTTTGTTAAAATGCACAGTATTGCACGAACTTTGGTGTTACGCGGCCATGCGAGCTTGCTGTTTTGCACGAGATCCTTGAGATGGGAGCAGCCTAGAAACATCCAGCATCCAGCCTCGTGCTGTCCGTACCAGGCCTAGGGTTGAGGAATAGGCTTGCGCAGGTTTCAAGGCGGTAACTGACGAGTTCCCCAGGAACATCTTCACACCCGTGGCAGTCACTCAAATTGCAGCTTATTTCGGCCACTTGGCTTGGTTGCTTCACAGATGTTGGCCTGTGGTGATGGAGCTTGGGAGCTCCAGAGTTTCCCACCAGCTTCGCTTGAGTGGCACATAGCTTCAGGTGGTGGGCGCCTGGCGCAACGATTTCAGCATACACTTTTTGTGGTCATAAAACCTTGGGGGGGTCAATCAACTGGATCAGAGCATGACAAAACAAGACACCCAATATCACCTATATAGGTTTTTCTTGGTGTCCCTCCCGTCCGATCGGATACTCGTCTTGAGGTCCGGACTTGACCTCGTCCGTGACGAAGACCGTCTTCGCGCTGTTTTCTGGCTTGCCCACCATTGACAAGGCTCAACATGCGCTGACAAAGGGCTCAAGGGTGGGAACTGAAGGGTAAACCCACTCTTTTCGGGGAGATGGGTGGATCCTCCCAAAAATTCCGTTCACTCACGAACATGTTCGAACCATGTGATTCGATCACTTCGGCTCATGTGAATGAAGCAGGCTTGGCTGTTGGCAGACCAGTGTTGCAGGATTTCTTCCAAGTCTTGCTGGAGCATGTGAAGAATCGAGCCGGCTCCTCAAAGCCAATGTTGCAAAGTCAAGGCTTTGGGGGTGTGCAGTTTAGTTGGATGATAGATGGCAGAGGGCCGCAAACGAGCACATTACAAAAACTGGTTGGATGATTCAGTGATGAAGGTTCACAAACTTCCAAACTTGGTACTATCAATTGAACTTCAGATGTCAATTAGTTAGCTGATGTTTGTCGGATCCAATGCTAACAAACTTGATGAATTCCATGCGTTTCTTCGATCCTAGGTCAAGGGTTCTCCAGACAGACGGCCACTCGGACGCTTTTTGGGTGAGTGTGTCAACTATACAGACGAGACACGCGCATTAGCTCTCACTTTGGCTCTCACTCCGGGTGTCCAACGACCAATTCAGGCTTTCAGAACTCCTGATCGGCCAGACGGCATCGTCGCAGAACACGTGAGGTTTTACCTTACAGGCCACTCTCTGGGGGGTGGCCTGGCCAAGCTGGTGGCTTTGGAAGTGGGGCAGAAGTCAGCCGCGTGGCCACAGGAAGGTTGGCCATTGGGAGCTGGGACCCCACGCTCCAGCATGCTCTAGTTGTTAATTGCTTGGGGTGTTGGGCGTGTTGGACACTTTTGGGGGGATTGCAGTTGTTTTCTATATATATATACGTGTTTGACATGCCATGGCTATTTGGAAAGACGCATTGCACATGCTACTGATACTCAGGCGGTTTCTGCAAAATTACTATGTGTAAGGTAGGTAGGCAACATGTACCGATGAACCATAGCTTCGCAGCCTGTGTTTCTAGCCTTGTTCATCCGTTTTCCAATTCTTTGCCCATTTCTTGACTTTATATTTGTTTAATGGAATCCTTAGACGTGTCTTCAACCACCTAACCCCAGATTCCTTTGAACTTATGTGGATGCCTTGCAGTTGCACCACCCCTTTCCACAAGGACCGGAAGACCTGACTGGAAAGATAAAATCACTAGCCTCTTGTGTAGGCAGGTGCCAATCACCTGCCTAGGAGGCAAGGTATAGCAAACAAAAGCACGTCTTCATCCACCACCAAACACGTCTTCTTGTTTGTTCACCCACCGGGCAGGGCTTGGCCAACGGCCCAGGTGACCTTTGCAGCACCAGGTTTGCGTTACACCTCCCAAATGCTTTTATCGGATACGGCCTTTAGCAAGGACCAGCTCTTAGCTTCAGGCTGGAAGAGATTGGCTGTCTTTCCGGCTTGTTCCGAAGTTTTGAAACGGCGGAAACCAGTTTCACAGGTTCATCTATAATTGCATGTCTATTTTATATAGAGGGGATTTGAGGTGTATTTTTGTGGATTTCTTTTTTTGCCTGTAGCTGCTTTTGTTGCTTTTCTGGGCTTGCCTTCCTTTTCCTTGCTTCTCTATGATCTCTCCTGCTTTCCTTGCTTTTCCTTGCTTCTCAGTGCTTCTCTGCTTTTCTTGGTTTTCGTGCTTTTTTGTGCTTGTGTTGTGCGGCCGATGTTTTGTTTTTGCTCTACCCGGGACTTGGACTTGGAGCCATGGACTGCTGGCAAAAGACAAAACTCTTGAATAGTAACATAATGCCATCACAACCCACAACGGTGGATACTAAGGGCAACCAGGCTTTTGCCATCTGACATAAGACCTAGATGAAGATCAGCGCTCCGTGCTTCCCAGAGTGCACTCCGAGGTTGACAAAACACCCCGTGCCAGGAAGTCTGCATGTCCAGCCTTACCAGCACCAAAAACAAGAAAAAAGCCCCAAAGAACAATTCCGGGACCATTAAAGATTTGCTTGGCATGTTTAGCTGTGCTTGCTGTTTCTTATGTGTGTGTGTGTGTTGGAGACCCTTGATGCGTTTGCAAAGACGAGCCTGTCCTCCTTGGATCGCAGGCGGATTTTCACACGGCAGTTTGAGGTACTTTGGAAGAAGCAAATTGAACTGAAATGCAACCTGCCCTGAGCTGTCGACCCGCAGACGAGTAAATATCTGAGATTAAGCAAGAAAGAACAATGCTTTTTAGAGCACTGGGTATGTGGCAAGTACTACATTCCTGACTTTGCTTGACGTGACTCATTGTTTCACTGGCTTTTTGTAGCCGAAAAAATGCATGACCCACATTATTTGAATATAAACCCGGTAATATGCATTAAGTAAGGAAGGTTCCCACAGGTTCAGAAATAGCTCGGCCACCGCTTGGCACTCTGTTGTTTAACTTGGAGATGCTACCTTGTCGCGCCAGCAAAACGCAGGGTTGCGCTAGGTTTGGCGCTAGGTACAAGTACTTAGGTAAGGTTAACAAACAACACATACACATATTTGGTATTTAACCTTGTTGAGGTAAGAACGGATAACCTGTGAGACAAAGCATTCTTTAGCTGAGCTCATCTTTGTTTGTGTCTGGACACAGCCATTTTGGCTGTGCTTGGTTTATGCATGTCATTGCAATTCTGCTTGCAGACCGAAATTAAATTGAGATTGTGTGTTCAATCAATCCTTGCTAGTCCAAAGTGTGTAGATAGTGAAAACTATTTGTCCATTATTGTGTTTGCACAATATGAGCTCCTTAGCATTCCCGCATATGGCTGTGGAGTAGTTGAACTGTTAAGCCTCCACACTCACGCACGCTCACACCAAGCACCTTTGGACAATAACCGATTTGTTTACTATCCACGCATGCTCACCTAATTGCAGGGTTTGTTTGTTTGTTCTATGTTTGGTTTTGACCGCACAGCCATACCTTCAATTCAAGAGAAGAGACTGGATCCGCGATTGGGGGCAAGGGATTGACATCAGGAGGTCCTCCTTTTTTTGGATGTTTTCTCTTGAGCCGGGTGACAGGTGGGTTAGATCCATTTAGAAGGGTGACCGGGTGACCACAGTTGTGACTCCAGAGAGTCGGATTCATTTAAAGCACCTCTCGAGTTAGGGCTCTGACTGGTGAGTCTGTCGCAAGGTGATCGCTTGGGAACGGTGGTGGTGCCAGAGTCCCTTGGTCAAAGAGGAGTCTTCGATTGCTGCGACAACGAGTCTTCGATTGCTGCGTTTTTTGGTCTTCGAAAACGCAGGTCTCATATGCGCATGAATACGTTTTCTCCCCCCCACCCAGTAACGTTCCAAAAGCAATAATCACATCAATCGTTTGTTTTTAATTGAATTGGATGATCTTGGATTCATTATATTAATTGGAATTCCGGAGTCCGGAGTCCTGAGGATTGATGGAATTCCACAAAAACTAGCTGGAAACCCAAACAACCAGAAAGAAATTGATCTTTAAATCCCAGTCTGAGCCATTTCCTATGCAAAGGATCTCAAGAAAAAGGGAAACAACCAGAACTGTTTTTGGTGGTTTTGGGTCCCTAGGTAGATTCTGGTTTTTGATCCCCCGGTGTGGCCGAGGCACGACCTGGTCTCTCGTGTAGATCAACAACTGGGAGCTCAACTTGGCATTGCCTGCGACAAAAACCTGTGCCTCGAGCGGAGCATCCGTTCCTTCCAAAAGTTGCAAGGAAATGGAAGAAAGGACAGCACGAGCTGGTCACGACCTGGTCACTCAAGACCTCAGAAACCATGCAGGTTCTGTTGGTGAACCTGGGAAGGACAGCTCGAAGCATTCCTCATCGAGTTCGGGGAGTTTTGGTCATCCCGAGTTTGCATCACCCTACTGCAGCACGCTGTTGAATGAAGATGTTTGTATAATGTTTCCAGACTGCTTCAGAGATTGGTGGTCACCTATAAGGACCTAGCAACACTTCAAGTCTTAACAGGACCGAGAGCTCGAAAAAATAGCCCCAGGCGACCCTGACTACCTAGTGCCCGGTCACATACCATCATCCCTGATCCAAAGCTATGCAAGGATGTGCAATTGCTCCCTTGCCGAAGTGCTCAAGAAGCATCAAGAAACCCATGTTCACCATGTTGGAGGGCTTGTGGGGATCAAAACAGGGAGCCTCGGCGCGAGAGCGAGTTCAACTCCTCGCAGGTTTGGCTGCCACAGCCTGCAGCACATCATTTTCGAGCTTCATCAGGGATGCAAAAGCTTTGCATGACACGACTGACAGCATATGATTGGCACATGCATGCGAATGCATCCCGGGTCGAAGATGGACGAGCAACGATGGATGAATCTACTCGTAGAATGTTGATTATATAATTGTAGTTTTAGGGCCGAATTCATTTGCACACTGGTGCAATTTGCGGCACGAATTCGCGCTGCCTTGTCGACAGGCTGTGCTTTAGATCGAAAAGGATCAGATTCGTGTCGCTACAGTTGACCTCGGAATTCGTCAGATTCGTCGCTGCAGTGCTTCTAGGGCCAGAACACCTGGTGTCAAGTTCGACGGGGTGCAACAGCACAATGACATGTCGTCACCGGTGGTCGTAACCGGTGGTCGTTTTGTTGTAACCCTCTGTTGAAAGCACTCCCATTGTGATCCCGAAGATCGTCACCGCCGCCGGAAAAAACAACAAGAAACGCGCCACTGGGCCAGGTCAAGTGGACAAAATGCGTTTTCCTGCGTGGCCAGCACCTGGTCTGCAAGAGCATGAGTTGGTTTGTTGGATGCTCATGGCACGTGGCCCTATGGGTTTTACGTGGGAGACAACAAAAGAGAAGTTGCGGTGGGGGAAATGTTGGCTACAATCACTAATCTATATCCAATGTTGAGAGGTCCACACAAGCCGGGAGGAGAGCATCCACACATGGTGGGAGACATCTCCTTGATCTTTGTCAACATTTGGTTCAAAGCCATGATGTTGAAGTGTTCCAAAGTGTGACTGCTGCATGGGGCCACAGACTTGGCACGTGCAGTTGCAAAGCCGCTCTTCGTCATCCTCACCAACAGATGAGAAATCTGACAAGACCGAGGCAGCGAAAAGCAAACGCCAGGGAGGAAATCAGACGATCTCACTTGTTTTGGATCTCAAAACATCTCTACAGATAGTAACTACTGGGGCCTTCATGCAACCTGGAGAACCGGATTGTTTGGGATTTTTTTGGCTGTTTGAGTGGGATCGTGATGCAGAAGTGCTTTGTTTGGTCTTTGACCGGCAGGATAGCGCACTGGCCAATCATGGAATAGGCGAGCGGCGAGCCGCCGGCGAATCGTGCACGGCCTTTGTGCAGTGGTATGAAGGTTCTTTGGACACCTGTTGAAAGGATTTGTTGGAAGTTGCCACATGTTCATGCCCTCAAGCTTTACTTTCAGTGGGGATGGAGCCTCGAAGTGCAGTAGTTCGAAGGCACTATGAGCTTGACAACTCTGAGATGCACAGTATTTATTTGGATTGGTTCGTATGTTCGATATTTGAACCTATAAGTATCTATAAGTGGAGTTTCGTTTTTGAACAACAAACAAATCATATATATGTATATACATATCATATATGTATAGTTATATATCACATATATATATATATCGCCTGCAGACAATTGGTGTACCAAGAGTATCATTTCTCTCTGTTGCAACTGGTGTTTGCATAAACGGCCATGGAAGCCTAACGTTTGGGTCATACACTAGAGGAAGGACATTCCATCTCCTTTTCTCCTTTTCCTACGTTTGGCATGTTTGGAGGCAGGTGTGTGTATGCGTGTGTGCTCCTGTTGATGGACAGTCCGTCCTGCAAAAAATATAGTACCCAACTGCCGATGGTGGGAATTCTCTCTCGGGTGGAAATGCTCGGACTCCCACCACTGGCTACCGGTTTCATTCGGGATCTTGCGTTTGGGTTTGACGATGCTGCACTGTGCAGGCCACTGCTTTTCGAAAGCTGTTCAAGTCATCAGCACCTTGGTGGACTCCGCATGCGAAGGTTGGTCATTCCGAATACGGTTTTGTATTCAAAGGTAGTTTTTAAACTGTCCTTCCCAAAGTCTAATGTTCTTTCTTTAATGGTTACTTTTTAAACTCCCACTCTCTACTTTCCTATTGTTTTCGACCATCCAGATGTTCCATGTAAAGACCTTGCAAGTATAAAGGAAGGGCTCTCAAGCAGTTCCCATTAAAAGCATCTTACATGTGTCCCACTTGTGGATGCTGGTTCAATTTGGTCACTGTTTTTTTCCGGACTTGGACTTCAAGGTGTGCCAGTTGTGTGAAGCCAATTGCCGATGTTTGCCATGAAACGAAGAGGAAAGCACAGGAAAGCATTACTGTTTTCGTTTCAACGCTTGTTACTGAGGAGAACAGGGCGCTCAGCAGTCGAAGGAGCCTGGCTTCACTCCAGAGATTGACGGTGGCAGCCTGAGTATGTGGGAGTCACCTATTATTTTTGTTAGGACGTTGCACAAGCCGAAGCTAAACAGCACCTGTTGGGTTCTCCAGCGGTTGCAAGGGAGGTCTCGGGCTTCGGTCGCAGACCCAGGTGGGGTCTGGTTTGTTCCACGATCCAAGTTTGAGTGGTGCCTGCACCCAGCCTACATCTACCTCACACTGAACAAAGCTTCTCCATTCAGGGAAACTGAAAGCCGATTCGCTCGACGCTTGAAATTCCGACGCCGAGCCGTGCTGAGTGATTCGATCGTCGAGCGACAGTGAGGCGATGAAGACGAAGGGGAAGCGAACGTGGAAGCTCGGGCAAGGTGGAGTCACCAGACACGGGAAATCAAGCTCGTAATTATTCGAGTGTGAAGTAGATTGAAAGCCGTGCTAGGGCATGGGCTTCTGCATTTGTGATAAGGACTTGCTTCATTTTGTGATCGCATGATTCCTGGAAGCACGCGACTGCTGTGACAGATGTGACACAGCGAACGTGGCCGTCCTTCGGGCGCCAGGGCAAGTTGGCTGATGATTTGGTGTCACGAGTGTGCGACCCAGTGGTCCGTCCCAACGTCATCGGTCCGCACACAAACACCGTATGTCGCGCGCGTGTTGATATTTTCAGGACTGTAGAAGGGTCAAGGGATGCCTTTTTGAAGCAACCCGCACATGACGGGGAGTTCACACAAAGAAGCTCAAAAGGTGTTCAAAAAGGATACAGGCACAATATGGATGTCACGCCACGCAGTCACTCTCAATCTGCTGAAAGGTTATGAAAGGTTTGGAACGGTTAATGTAGTTTCTTTAGTTTATGTTTAAGCCGCTCACCTTCAATAGGGTGTCCCTAAACTTAAGACCAAGTAAGACTAGCTAAGGCCATGACCTTTGTGCGTCGAGTCTCCGAGGCGCTGCTACAAGCCTGAGCGTGAACTCCGAGCCCACCTCACCGATGTCGTCACGGCCTCGGTGATCCGATCCGAGAAGCCGCACGTGAAGATCATGGTGAAGCCATGAAGATCATAACGCCTTTGCAGAACCGGCCCATGCCGTGAGCACGTGCTGAAAAAGTATCCGAAAGACCTTCCATTCTGCCAAAGTTTGGGTTTGAATCCCATGGTACCCAAGTCATTCTCTCAGGACTGAGTCCATCAAACACTTGTTGTTCATGTGGCAAACCTTGGAGAGCAAGCGCGCTGCATCCCATCGAGGCGATGAATCTAAGCGCTGGCATTCTTTGTATGAAGAAGGCTGGAAACGTTGAATGCAAAGGTTTTGGCCAGAGTGCGGCCTGTGCACCGCGAGAACTGTGGTAGTTTTGTTCACGTTTAAAGATGTTCATAGATTTTCTGCCACTCAGTCTTGGAAGAAGTGCACCGTGTTGTTGTCTCCAATGTCACTGTGTTTTTTGGTTGTTCTTGTGGCTCAGTTTTAATCCTCTTGCCAGGCAGTGAAGTACGAGACGTGGATGAAGCCGGGCCCTGTGAGCGATTCCAAACGGTCGACATGAGAACCTCCCCGTTCCGTGGAACCTCCGTGTTCACCAAACATGTGCTCATGAGGTCTCATGAGGTCACGTTGCAAGAGAGAGAGAGAGAGAACATATATATATAACTAAAGTATCCGAAATATATATATGTATATAATGATATTAAAACTATATATATATTGTCTTGTGTGTGTGGGGGTCATATATGAACCAACATCCAAGATCCGGTGGCTATTGATCCGGACCGCTCTCGCCCCTGAGGCGGACCAAAAACCGTTTCCATGTGCTGATCACAGACTGGAGGGAGGTTTCTGCGCGTTTCGTGTTTCGTGTGTTTCATCAACCGTTTCTTTTTTTCCGTGTGATGAGGCAAATCAATAATTACAAATGATAGACAATCCGTTGAAAAAGAAAACATGTTTGAACAAAATGATTGTATTTGGACAGTTGTTTCTATCCAAAACTGAAGACCTGATGTTCATGAGTTGTCCAAGGGAGTCCCTTCTTGTAGGGAACTTGCCAGGCCAAGCCGTGCATGAATGCAGTCGAAGAGAGTCATTTGGCCTGAGATGCGAAACGAGGGAAACGAGAGTTTTAGGGCCAGGCAGCTGAGTCCTGAAGATTGGCGCAGCGATGATCAGCCGATGTGCATGTGTATTTTACTTTTTGATGTGTGGGGTGTCAACGTTTTTCTTAAGACTCGAGACTCTACTTGTAGTAACAAAAAAGCTACTAGGTGGAGGCCATTGCAAGTAGGTTGGAGGCCCTTGTTACTAGTAGCTTCTTGTTCCTAGTAGCGATGGCCTCCACCTAGTAGCTTCTTGTTACTAGTAGCTTCTTGTTGGGTCAAGGATACGGTTTTCTTTCAAGACTCGAGACTCTTCAACCGTGCCATTCTTCTATGATGTGTTTCTTGTATTGATCAGGATCCGTTTTCTAGGATGCCTTTGCCTATTGGTGCCTTCTTCGCCCCGCCCAGGCCTGCAAAAGGATTGGCCTGAAATGATTGCCAGATCCCGAGTTTGGGCAGTCTGCTGACCTTTTGTTGCTTGCAAATCAGTCAGATAGCAATCAATGATTATCAATGTCAATGTCAATCATCATGAGAAAGCAGACTCCAAGGGAGTGATCCAATTCAAACATGTTTTTCACTCGTCTCTTGCGGCTCAGATCGTACTTTGCGATTTGCCGAAGTCCCACGAGAATGCCTTGCAGTGGGCTTGCACCTGAGAGACGGAGAGAGAGTGCTACGATGTGCGACGCACATTGGTGGAGGATGTTTTTGGCTCGAAAGCACACTGCAGGT